TAGCAAAAACAAATAGTAATACATTTATTTTGGATAATTTAAAAAAATAATTCAATTTTATATAGTATCAAAAAATGAAAAATATTCCGTAAAATAACAAGGTTTTTTTTTTGCATATACATAAGAGTTCAGCAAGATATAAGATTTTATAAAGCGATTTTTTTTTAAAAAAAAAACAAACAAAATTCCAGGCCGAGAAGAGGATAGCCAAAAAATTTAATTAGGTAAAAGATTAAAGATTTATTTTTTCCTTTCAAAAATTTCAGGGAGCATGCGCATAATCAATGGGAAGGGGGGGGGGGAGAGATGGGGGAAAGGGTGGGTTTTGCAAATTTATCCGTTCTCGTAAATATTATTTTAAGCTAATAAAAATCTCCCTCCCACTTTTCCCCAAAAAATTTAGACAATATACCATCATTATAAGTTGTGTTGTTAAACGGCTCGCGTTGAGCTGATTTTTAAAACCGGCTAACTCCATATTTTAGCCAGAAAAATATTACCTAAGCCTCGAAATTTCGCTGATAGATGTCCAAAGATTTGTTCCTTCAACAGATAAAATCTTCAGGCTTGCGTAATATTATTCTAGATGAAATATTGAGTTAGGTTTTTAAAAATCGGATCAAAGAGAGCCGTTTAAAAACACTAATTGTAAGGAAGAATTTGTAAGAAAAAATTGTTAAAAATTAAAATAATAACTTTTTAAAATAACGACTATTATTCAAAATTTTTTTTAGAAAAAAAGCATTTTAATTAATAAAAAAAAATGTGTGTAAATTTAAAATTATATTTATAAAAAGATAATATAGCCAAAGGCATATACAATAATTGGATCTTTATATTTCCAATAAAATTTACGGGAAAAAAAAAATTCACCTAATAATGGTTCCTCCTTTCTCCTTAGCAAAATCCTCGATAAGCCAGTGCCAACGAGATTCCAATATTTAGTCATTATTTTTATATCAGAAGGTTATCTAAAAAAAAGGACTCATTTAGCTTAATATTTCTCGGACAAAAGTATGCTGGGCAAAAAGACACCGGACCAAGACACCCCAATTTTATTTTAAAAATATTTTTAATACCTTTAATAGCAGATACTTTTGTCCAGTAGCTTTTGGACAAGGATTCAATTATTTGATCTGAATTCTGGGCCAATTCTTTCTTTTTATCCTAAAAAATCTCACTTCATTCCAATTAATTTATAATATTGCTATAAGCATTTAAGGCAACGGTAATACGATATTTACCATCCTTTATTCAAAAAATAAGCTGACTAATCAGTTAAAATCGGGGGGAGTTCGGCTTCATTTGCAGACGCGTGCCGTAAAAATTTGCTAAGCCTCGAGGCCGCGAATTAATTTTGCTCTGCTTTCTCCAAGGTTGAGAATAACATTTCCAAAAAAAATCCCGAGATAACAGTTTTTCGGCTAAAAAACCCGCTTTCGCAGTTTTTAGAATGGACTTAAAATGAGAACGATTTCCCAATCCAACTATATTATTATTAAGCTTTCACATTTTAGGAGTTGCACAAAATATTTTCATAATTTCCTTTACAAAATTAATCAATTTTAATCTATACCCTAAAAAATTGGTGATTAACTTTCATATATTTTTTTTAAGCTTACATTTATGCTTTATATTTAAAAATTCGAAGAAAGTACTGTTTCCGTTCTAAATTACTAAAAACAAAAAATCACTAAAATTGAGAATCTTACTTAGAGGCCTCAATTAGCGGTACCCGCTCGATAGCATCAAAGTTATTTTATTGATTTGGCTCTTTATTTAATTTAAACTTATACAATATGCAATTATTATAATATTAAAAAAAATGATTATTAATAAATACAAGCCCGAAAAATATTTCAGATTCACCCAATCATTGTTTTAATAATATTTTTTTTAACCCACCTCCCCCTTTCCTCCTCCCAATGTTTAAAATTTTTAGGCCGGAGAACTATAAACCTACTCATTGCAGATCTAATTTGCTTATACCTCCAAGAAAATATTTTTTAAAAGCATATCGAAGATAATGTTAATAAAATGCTAGGGAAACTAATACTTTGTATTTTTCAATTGAGGTTTTGTTTTTTTTTTAAAAAATTGCTTAAAAATGTGGAAAAATATTGTTAATATTATAAAGTTAAATTTTCTTTTTCCTTCGTCTCAATTAATTATAATTTTAAGTTATATTTTCCATAGCATAAAATTTAATAATCATTCTTAAAAAGAATTTCAATTATTTTAAATAAAAATGATTTCATCCATTACGGGAATATTGAAGATATTTTCCCCATTTCATCTTATCAAATATTATTTATTTTTCAATATTGCTTTAAATTTTTTTAGGAAGAATGTAAGCAAAATTCCCGATTTAGAAACCTATTCCTAAACTAAAGTAATTATGTCGTATCGGCTAAAAGTGGGAGAAGGTTAAAAAGCTGAACTGAATACTAAAAATTGATATTTATCGTGATACAAAACTATATTTTTTATATACCTATTCCCGGATGTATATTATGGAACTTGTGATAAGAATGGTCGATTCGAATAAAATGCTGAAAGGATGGAATGGCTTCCGATTATTCCCCAAGGAAAATTAATAATTTAAGATATTGAACAAAAAAAATGAACAGAGCAAATAATCAAATCTAATTTTTTTTTCTATTATCTTTTTAAAAGATAAACGAATAAATAAAATAAAAAAAAGTACAAAAATTTGTTTTTGTGATAATTATTTTTATTCTTGAGAGAAGCAAAGGTAAATAAAAGAAAAAAACGTAATAATAAAAAAATTGAATTTTTTTTTTAAAATATTTTACTTTTTTGTTTTACCTGAAAGGGTAAATATTTCATGTTTTAAAAATAAAATAAATATTATATTACAGATAGATATATAGATAGATACTAAAGGAATTAACAAATCAACAATAAAAAAATATTTTTTATTACTATGTGATTTTTATTTAATTAGGCACATAATTTTGAGATATCGTCCTAGCCTTATATTCTATGTTATCTTTATCACGTCATGTTATAACATTTTTTTTTAAAAAATAAGATAAATTATTGTGTAAAAAAAAATGTAGCATGAAATGAAATGTTATTTTAAATCAGAATGCAATTAAATCATTAATTTTTTTTTTAAATCGGATTTTATTGTCATTTTTTTTCTCATGGGTTAAATATAAGAAAATCTTAAAATGAGGGGATTTGTGATTTATGAAATAAATTTTTGAAATGTTAAGTTAAATTAGAATGCATTTAAATCATTAATTTTTATTTCTTTAAAGTTATAAAAATCGGATTTTATTGATTTAAATCATTTTTTATTTTTTAAAATAGATTGGGTTAAATAACAAAATCTTTAAATGAGGGGATTTATGATTTGTGAAATAAATTTTTTAAATGTTAAATTAAATTTCAATTAAATTATTTTTTTTAAAAAAAAGTTTTAAAAATCGGATTTTATTGATTTAAATCATTTTTTTTTTCAAAATAGGTTTTAGGTTAAATATGACAAAATCTTTAAATAGGGGATTTATATGATTTGTGAAATAAATGTTTAAAGCGTCTTATTTTATGTGATAACCTATATTTATTTAAATTTTAAAACATTTTACAAATATATAGAAAAATATAAAATTAAATATATAATATATAAAAATGAATTTAATTGAGAATATGTATACAAGTGTAGATAATAATGCATAAAATATGATGAAGATGAGGATACTTTTAGTATTTTGAGATATTTCAACTGACGCGCTTTTCAAATATTTAATCTTACTTCTAATGATTTAGAAGGTAAGAAAAAGTGTAAAGGAACATATATTAAATATTTTAGAAATAATCATTTTGCGCTCTAAAGATAGCAAGGGTAGACAGAATACAGTAACAAGGTTTAAATCAATGAGTTAAAACATTTTTTTAATATATACGAAATATTTAAACAAAAAAAAATATTAAGGGTACGGTACTAAATCTAAACTTTGTATACTAGTATCGTTTAGATTGTTCCCTTATTCAAAATATTTTAACCTCGATATTTCTAGTAGCTCAAATTTAAAAAAAAACATATGATTTTAGATTAAATTCTGATATATATTTTTTAAAAAAAATTTTGATGAGGATCTGAATGAGATTTATATATTTTTATGAAAATAAAGATTATTCTTTGAATATTTTAAATAATTCCCCCCCCCCCTCCCACCAAATAAATGTTTATATACTAAATATAATACAACACTCCCGTCTTCTGCATCAGTTGAACGTGTTTAGTAATGTTGTTAAACCGATTAATATTTTAGCCAAAATAATATTATGTAAGCCTCGAGATTTTTTAAATAGAAAAGATGTCCAAAACTTACTGCCGTCTATCAACAAAATCTCCGGACTTACATAATATTATTTTGTCTAAAATCTTAATCGAATCGTTTTTAAAAATCGACCCAAATCACACTAATGTTGTGAAATCTGTTTTAAGCACTAAACGCTTTTGTTTACGTCATTAATTTTAAAAATCGATTGGTAACGAGCAACATATCTCTTTTTGAGGCAACGTTTACACCACTCTTAAACACGAATAAAATAAACACCTAAGATGATGAGCATTTGAATTCGTATATTAGCGCTAATATTTTCATTTTTCATCTTTGGGAAAAATGGCGCGTAGGGGTGGGTACAATGCAAATCCTTCATTGAATTTCAGATGGGTGATGGTATTCTCTTCTTAGTCCGTATCCTTACTTAATTTAAATCATTTTATATATTAATCCTTAAAGGGACTTAAACACTGAGTAATTCTAATTTGACTAATAGGATTTGGAAATAGAGAAAAATGAATTTATCCTTCTTTGACTGTTGAATGTATTGCAATTTTTTTTGAGCCGCGCTGAGCTAGTTTTGCTTAACCCTTAGAAATGCCATTAATTAGAGGAATATTCGTTTTTGAATACTCGTTAATTACTACTGTAAAATAAAAATTTATTAATGAATGTCTTTGTGATGGGGAAAACGAATAAATATATGGAATTATGATCAAAATGAATTAATTCGATTTTAATTTATATAATAATTCTAAACTCATATTAAAATAATATTTTTTTAAATTAATAATATCGATTAAAATTAATACAATAATTGAAATTACGAATTATAACAATTTCTTTAAAAATTCTATCTTAGGGCATCAAACACTTTGTTCTTCAGAGTAACTAAACGTCACCAGCTTAGAGGAAAACCAAGCAACTCTACAAATTTAATTATGATGACCTCACCTTAGCTGATTTGAGCCTTTGCAATAGTGGCAAAGGACTTTGGCTATACAAATTTTGTCTTGAATTATTAACATTTTTAAATGTCTCTTCTCTTCTAAGCTTTAAATTTTCTTCATCTTTACGGACATTAATATCGATACAGGGGTTGCTTAGAAAATTCGCATCAAAATTAGATGTAATTTCCCCATGATTTTCAAATGTCAAATCTTCGAATATTAGAGCGCTTTGGTTAGAATCGGATTTACCATCAATATTTTTAATAATTTGATCATTCAAGTATGAATGAAAGACGGTGGGTGATAAAGAATCTAAAAAAACGTCATCAATTATTGATATCGCATCATCGCATATTTTCTTTGGCGTTTGAAAATCGATTTTTGTAATTTCAGCTGTGATAGTTTCTCGGGAATCTATATTAGCTGAACGAGGGAATGTAGGAGATATAATTTTATTGAAAATTTTGTCATTTTCCACGATTTTACTAATTTCAGAATTTAGAGATAATCTAGATCCCTTTTCTGTTTCCCGTGGTCGTAAACTATCTTGTAAATTTTCGTTGATAACAGTATTCTTCATACGAATATTATAATTTAGGGAATCATTAGACGATAACTTATAGTGGTTAGGGATTTCGAATGATGTTTCATCTCCACTGATTATCACTGTGTCATCTTGACAGCTACATCGGTTGTCACTCTTGTGCGAGAAGTGACTAATCATCTCTTTATGACTAATTCCAAGATTTTTATCAAATTTTCTATCGGAGGAAATATGTGAAGTGGGTGAACGAATAACGATGATTGGCGTGTCTAAATCTAAATCGATTTTCGCGTTATAATTTTTCTTAGTAGAATGAAGGCCGTATGAGTTAATCATATTTTTGGCGCTATTTTTAAATTCGTTTTCGTTAAGACTCAATTTGGCAGCGAAATCTGTGATAAGGCGATTATTAAGAGTGGCATCATTATTTCTCGAAGATTTTTTCGAAACCTTGCTTTTGATACCTTTTTTTGGAAGGGGGAAAATATTAATTATTAATTTTAAATATTAGAAAAATAATAGTAAAATGGAAATTAAAAATAAAGATAAAAAAAGGTATAATTTAAAAGGAACTAGAAAATTTGAGGTAAGAAATATAATAAAATAAATAAAAATATAGCCTTGCACACAACTACCCTAATCCGCGGTCAGATGGGCTTCTCGAACACTATGTTTCTAGGCTCGTAGTGCGGGTAAAATTTTAATATTTTCTCAGTCCGGACCAGATCTCATTTTAAGTTAGATTGAAATTTAGTGGGATCTGATTGGCCAAACAAATATAATTTTTTAAAATATTTTACCCTCAAATAGAAATGTGACTCAAAAGCATACTGGGGAAACAATATTATCTGAGATTGATAGTATTGAAGAGGAGTTCCTAAAAGCCAAAATAATACAAATGGTAACTGATGCTGGGGCCAATGTCAAAAGAAGCGTCAGATTAGAGGATTATGAGCATCATTTATGCTTAGGGCATGGACTTCATAATTTGGTTACAGTTGATGGCATGAAAAAAGTTACCAAGATTGATATTCTCATTAAAAAAATTAGAGAAATTATTTCAGCCCTCAGATATCGAGTAGCTGATTTGTAATGTGAAATTGACTGCATTTGAATGTACTTTTAATTTTGGATTGCTTAAAGGATTTCACGATGGCCGGGTAAGCTAAATCCATATACCGAAACTTGACAGGGATCTCATAAAATTGTAACAGTCTATCTTTAGTGCTCGCCACTTCCTCGTGTGCTTCAGTAAAATTGTCGAATTCTGGTGCGATAATAAAAAGTTATAAATTTTTTTTATTTAGAAACGAAATTGACAATTCTTGTTTAAAGTATCATTTCAAATTATACCCAATAAACCCTTTCGCGCCCCATGGATAACTTTTAGAATCATAATTTTAGTAATTTTTATGGATTAAAAATGACCACTGATAACTTTTAAATTTTTAATATTTGCTGTTTCGTATTTTATCACCAACTGGCTGCTTCATATGTAATTATATCATATAATAGTTATAAAAAATCAATTTTTTTTTGTACCATTTTTGCGCCAAAATTTTAATTCATATTTCTGGTTATCAAATTTTCTTAAAAAATGTAACTAATCATTTCATATTTATGTATTAATATTTTTATTTAAAAAATATCATCTTTTAAAACATTTTAGGTGCTGGAAATTGAACATAATGCCATTTGGCATCAATGGTCATTTCTTATGCACTAAAAAAAATTTATTCAATAAATGGAAATTTTCGGCAAATTATTTAGGAAATTAAGATTTAGGGTTATGGAAATTGGAAAGGGGGGTGGGGGTAATTAGATTTTATAATAGTTAACTATATTGATTATCTAATATCTGATTTTCTGGTAGGAAGAGGTTCTAATAGCTATTTTATATAAATAACATGTAATATGAAATGCTTTTTTTATCAGTATGCATTTAGATATGACTACACGTATCCCCGAGGGTGATATGTCTGAGGCTGATATAGAGAGCTCAGACGAAGAATACAATTATTATCCTTTGCTGGGAGATGATTTGCCGAAATCATCTAATATTACAAATGAACTAGGCCTTGAATTGGAGGATATAATAGAAGATACTACTATATCTAAAGTAATAGATAACCCTCTTTGGTCTAAAAAAGACGCCGGAAACATGATTACAGAGTTTATCCCTATATTGAAAATTCCTGAACAGGATTCAACTCCTCTAATCTATTTTCATAAATTTTTTGGACAACCAGATAATTAGCAATTTTGTATCGGAAACAAATATTTATTCCCTTCAATGTTGTGGTAAATCTATAAATACAGATAGCGATAAAATTGTAAAAATTTATTGGGATACACTTATATACTAGCTTAGTCAAGATGCCTTCTATACGACAATATTGGTCTGGTGAAACATCTCACAAGTAGCGCAAACTATGCCCTGCAATCGTTTCCCTTTGATCCGGAAATTTTTCTGATCATTTCAGAGAGTTCGTATAATGTTTTCTGGGAATAATAAGAATCAGGTTTATTTTATCAAAGAATCCCATAATATATTTTAATAAATTCATGAACCAAGTTTATTTTATTAAAGGATTAAATTTATTTTTCACCGAAAATACAAATGAAATTCGTTGTTTATATAATAAAATATTTAATTTAAATGATCTCCGAAAGGTAACAAAATGACCTTTCGAAATAAATTGTAACTTGTATAATGTCATTAACAATTAGAATTTGTAACAAAAAAAGAAAAACATTTCAAAATTTAAAAGTCATTATCAAAACAAAAAAATTAATAGTTTAAAGGAGAATATAAAAAAATATTTAAACGACTTCTTAACATTTTCCATATTAATAATAACAAGGATATGGTAAATAGGGGATAAAGGATACAACAAATTAAACAAATTTCACCCGATGGGGATAAACTCTGTATTCATGTTTCCGATGTCTTTCTTAGACCATAGAGGGTTATCTTTTATTTTAGTTATAGTAGTATTTTCGATTATATCCTCCAATTCAAGACCTAGCTCATTTGTAATATAAGATGATGTTGGAATATCATCTGCCAGTAAGATAATAATTGTCTTCTTCGTCTAAGCTCTCTATATCAGCCTCAGTTATATCACCCTTGGGGATAAGTGTAGTCATATCTAAATGCATTAAAAAGCGTCTCATATCATGTTATTGATATAAAAAGCATTTCATGTTATTTATGCAAAATATTTATTAGAACCTCTCCCTATATCCAAGAAAACCCAATAATAGATATTAGATAATCAATATAGATATTTTATCAAAATCTAATTAACCCCCACCCTATTCCCGTTTCCATAACCCTAAATCTAAATATCCTAAATAATTTGCCTAAAATTTCTATTTATTGATAACAAATATTTTAGTGCATAAGAAATGACCATAGATGCCAAATAGCATTATAGCTCAATTTCCAGCACCTAAAATGATTAAAAAGATGATAATTTAATAAAAATATTAATACATATAAATATATATTAATAATAAAATTATTACTTATATATTTTTAGCAAGATTTGATAACCAGAAATATGAATTAAAATTTTATGAAAATGGTACGAAAAATTTTTTTTTTTATATAATTATAAAATGATACTCGAAAAGTTATTAATAGCTTGAAATGATAAACTATAAGTTTAAAATGATACTTAATGAAGTAAAATACTCAATTAGGCGAAGTTGTTAAAATAATACATATCAAGTCTAAATACAAAAAAAATGTTTGTATCCTTATTTATAAAGCTGAATAAAGTTTAGCTAATTGATATCCTCATTTATTAATTATCCATAGGTAAGTTCAATAGAAAACATCATGGTCAACACATTACATATCATTCATATAATAAGTAATAAGCCGCCATTACATTAACATTAAGCGAATCTTCTCGAAAACGACTCCCATAATTACTTGGATGGATTTCACACAATCCCCTGGACTTCATGTTTGATACTCAATCGTTACACTTATTATCTAGATACATTTTTAGTTGCATCTATTTATAGCTACATTTTTGATGCGATTTTATTTTATGTTCTTTAATTATATTTCTATTAAATATCTGTCCTAATTAATTCTTTCCAATTTCAGATACGTGTTATTTTACAAGCAATGGATAACGAATATCATGGTAAATAAGTTATTAATTATTCATCTTTATATAAATATTTAGACGATTTATTAACGCTAGATGAAGAAAAAACAATCAACACAGTCATTACCAAATTTTTCGAACTTTATTGAACTTGGTTACAAATTCCAGAAAATTAAACAAATTGACAACGATTAATCGATAAACTTTCAATTCCAGATGACACAAATGGCAGGCGTCTTACTTTATTAATATTTTTAAAAATTCAAATCGCATCAAGATACTTTTTTAGGTAAAATATTTGTATCTAGATACTTTAATACATATATCAGTTCCAAGAAGTTGGCAGATAGATTGGAAGTACTACCTAAAATCTGAGGCCATTTTTTTGTGGTAACCAAAACTAAGGAAAAAAGTTATAAACAAATACAAATAATAATTTTGTAAACTTTTACGTTTAAAAGGTCGAATGAAAGCAGTAACGATAAAGCATAGGCCTATTCAAAAACGTATTCGAATATAATAGTGCATTATTCGTATTCGATTCGAATTATTCGAATAATTTTCGAATAATTGAAATGAATTTTCTTAATAAAATAAATCATACTCAAATATATTGACAAATTTTTTTATTGCAAATTTGATTTCAAACAGAAAAAATTATAATAATCCAATGACAAATAAATATAATCAAGTTATAAACAAAATTAAAATATTATATTATTCATTTAATTTATAATTTTAAGCCAATTTTTAAGGCAAAGGGTTTTTCTTATATTTTCTTCTTTATACGACATGCGGTTTTTTGACAACAAATTAGTGCCAACTGAGAAAAGTCTTTCACACGCAGTTGATGTTCCTTGTATAGATAAATAATCTCTTGCCATTTTTAAGAGTATGGGGATCCTATGTGCATTTGTCTTCCACCACATTAATGGATCAGTATCATTCTTTGATCTTGGTTCACTCAGGTAAAAATCGATTTCACATAATTGAACATAATTTTGTTTAAAAACAATGTCAAGCCTGTTTTTGTTGACTTTCATCCTTATTTTGGCAGTTGTAATTATCAGTAGCTTATAAAATAAAATGATATGTATTTAAATGGGGGTAAATTAAATACCTGTATATCTGCTTTAAATCCCTTTAAACTTGTCTGTTAACCTGTACTTTATTAACATAACATACAGGAGGAATGGGACGATCTTGTAAAAATTAAATCTATCCTATTGCCTTTGTATGAAACTACAAATATGGTTTGTGGGGAAAATTATCCTACTTATAATTTGGTTATACCCTATTATATTCTAATTCTTGAACACTTAAAAAATGAGAAACCTTGTTTCCATAAAACCTCTAACAATGATTTCAAAGTGGCATGTGATAAATTTTTGGGCTATTACAATTTAACTGCAGATGATGCAATAATAGCTACAATATTGGATCCCAGGCTCAAAATAGAATTTTTAAAATCAATATCTCTTGATTATGACATTGATATATCCAGGTTAACAGACAAGTTTAAAGAGATTTATAGCAGATATACAGGTATTTAATTTACCCCCATTTAAATACATATCCTTTTATTTTATAAGCTACTGATAATTACAACTGCCAAAATAAGGATGAAAGTCAACAAAACAGGCTTGACATTGTTTTTAAACAAAATTATGTTCAACTATATGAAATCGATTTTTACCTGAGTGAACCAAGATCAAAGAGTGATACTGATCCATTAATGTGGTGGAAGACAAATGCACATAGGATCCCCATACTCTCAAAAATGGCAAGAGATTATTTATCTATACAAGGAACATCAACTGCGTGTGAAAGACTTTTCTGAGTTGGCACTAATTTATTGTCAAAAAACCGCATGTCGTATAAAGAAGAAAATATAAGAAAAACCCTTTGCCTTAAAATTATAAATTAAATGAATAATATAATATTTTAATTTTGTTTATAACTTGATTATATTTATTTGTCATCGGATTATTATAATTTTTTCTGTTTGAAATCAAATTTGCAATAAAAAAAGTCAATATATTTGAGTATGATTTATTTTATTAAGAAAATTCATTTCAATTATTCGAATAATTCGAATCGAATACAAATAGTAGATTTTATTATTCAACGAATCGAATACGAATAATGCACTATCCGATTCGAATACGTTTTTGAATAGGCCTAGTATAAACTAGATTCTTCGGGTAAATAAGAATAATTATTAGAAACTTAAATAGTATTTTTATCGCGTTTATTAAACCGATTGAAGCACTAGCGTCTACTAACAAAGCAGTAAAGAATAATATAGTTAGTGTTGTTAAAAAGCCCAATTTGAGTCGATTTTTCAAAATTAGCCAATTTAAGATTTTGGCTAAAATAATGTAAGCATCGAGATTGGACAAATAGATGTCCAAGCATTTCTGCCAGTTATGCGCAAAATCTTTAGGCTTACATAGTTATTTTGGTCAAAATCCTAATCGGGCCGTTTTTTGAAATAAATAATCGAGCTTTTTAACAATACTAATATAGGGTTCATCGTTAGTCCTTCCAATCGATTGGCCAACTTCACGAAACATCATACAGTATCTGTATTTGTAGCTAGACACATTAAAAATATCTTTTAACGACCCTGATAATAAGTTTGTTTCATATTTCTCTCTCATTGCGATCGCCTAAAAATTAGTGTGCCGTCTGAGGCGATCTGCCAACGAGTCTTGCTCTCCGCGAAACAGAGTGTAAGAGCGAGCCTAGCAAAGTGTACAGTGGTTAGATCCGAGAAATGGTAAAAAAAATTTTTTACTGATTCTTCCTTTTTTCCCTAAACTTTCTTAAAAGTCATAAATTACCATAATAAAAATAATGAATATCGAAAAGGAGCTACCAAACATCGTCCAATGAGTCGTATAATACTGAATCCCTTGTTTAACGCAAGTTTTCCCGATCCGTAAGGGTTTTATACCGATTGAAAACGAAAGTAAACGATCGTTAAAATCGTCTGGTTTATATTGGCTTAAATTGTTTTCCCATTTTTCGCGATTCGCCATTTTAAAATACGAGGTAAAGTAATGATTCACGAGATAAGGAAGCAATTTCTGTAAGGTGTAGGCTTTGTTCCAATCCAAAATTTTCGAGGTAAATTCCTTATTTTATAATCGTAATTTTTTTTTTAAAAAAAAAAGAAGTTTAAGTCTGGAAACCGGAACCGGAACAAATCTAGCAACCGGAAATGTTTGCCTCAAATTTATAGAAACCGGAAATTTGTGCCTAAAATTTATAGAAACCGGAAATGTTTGTCTAAAATTTATAGAAACCGGAAATGTTTGCCTAAAATTTATAGAAACCGGAAAATGATTTTACGATCTTTTTTAGGAAAATAGTAATTAGTTGTAATAAAAGTTCAACCATTTTATACGTTCAACCCTAAATCATATTAGATCGCCATAAATTTAATAGTATAAATTTCCACTTAAAATTTTACAGGTTGATAAATTAAATAATAGTCTTTAATTTAAATGAATCTTAAAGATTTACATGCCCTTTAAATATTAAAGGGGAAAATGGATAAATTATTAACTTTCATATAGATAACGTAGTATCCATTTTTGAAAGCTCTTATATTATTAAAGAAAATAAAATGACACCTATGTAACTAAAATAAAATACTAGGTCTGGGAGTAGTATTGTTAAACGGCTCATTTTGAGCCGATTTTTGAAAACGGCTAACTCAATATTTAAGCCAGAAAAATGGTGCCTAAGTCTAGAGATTTCTATAAGTCTAGACCTTTGTTTCTTCTATGAGCAAAATCTTCAGGCTTAAGTAATATTTTTCTGGGTGACTATATTGGAGAATCCACAAGTTTTTTTAACGATCCGATATACATGTAAAAGATATCAGATATTTTAGATTGATGTTTATTTACCATCCATCTATGAACCAAGCCATAAAAAATAGTCAAAATTTTGAAGAGTTTGAATAAAAAAATTTGATTTAAATTACAAAGGATTTATTTATAAATGATTTTGACATTTTCAAGGTAAAATTTGTATTTCTAATCGCCACAGGAATGATTAAGTGTCTTTTTTTAAAAAAAAAAATTTCCATAAGGTTAACTATATTTCTAATTGTTGACCTATCGACATAATAAGAAATTTAATAATTATCTTAATTATATTTATACCTTATTAAGGTATGTTCCAGTATCTTTTTTAAAATATTCAAAAAGTTATCAAAACTTTCAGAAATTTTTAAAATTTTAGGGAATTATATTTTGGACATGTTTTTATTTTTTATATGTTTAAAAAAAACATATTTCTTCTTTTTCGACAAAGTTTCAAAAGTTCGCGAATCGAGTTTTTTTTTTGTTAAATATTTTTAATCCTTCTCTCATAATATAACAAAATTTCTTTTTAAAATAACTCGATCATTATTTAACGCTGCACTTGGTTGAGTTGAGGGGATCAAATCCATCGAGGGAAGACCAAATGACGACGAGGATGAAAGTAATAATGGGTGACATAAAAATAAAAACGATGGGTTTTACCGATCATCGACGCCTATGACCGAAAAAAAATGGAGAAAAGGGATAAGAGGGGAAACTGGCTTAACCCGGGTTAAACCTGGAAAACCGCTTGCAAAAATTTTTTTTGAAATTATATAAAAATATAATATATATCAAAATAATTCGGACAGGATATTACGCCCTAATAATTATAAAGGACTGCATAAATTTTCGGATCATTTTACCCCGGTAATAGAATTAAGAATCTCGGCCTTCTGTCCATAGGAAGACCCAGTTGGAATCGTCCTTGTTAAAAATACGCTCGAATGTAACATCATGAATTATCATATTTGAGAAAATGAATTTTATACACTGAAATAATATGATTTTAATTTATTCCCCATTATATTTTTTGGATAATGTAGTAGCATCGTTTTATATAAAAATTCTTTTTTTTAAAAAAAATCTATGGAATTAAAAACAAGATTAAATATTGTTTACATAATTTGTGCTCTTTATAATGTGAGTTTCTGCTCGAAAAACAACGGTAAACCCTGTGTTATATAAATATTAATTAACTTAAAATATTCTTAATGAATTTTGTTTTCAAAGTGGATATGCGGGAAAAAATTTGTAGTCAAGCGTTCTAATTATTTAGGGTTGAAATCGTTCTAAATGCTGGAACCGTGCTAAATCTATGAACAGGAACTATTTTTTTTAGTAACCGGTATACGCAATGATATTAATACTAGCCTAAACTGATAATTCCTTTTCTTTTAAAGTGTGCGACTTTGAAGTCAGCTGTAGTCGATGTCATTGGCTATATTAGACGTTATTGAAAAACCTTTCGACAAAATAGCCCGAAATTGTCTTTCAAATTTCGTCTAAATGCCTTTTGATGGTGAAATTCAATGTGTAGAACACTTATTTTTTATTAAATCCATTTTAATGTATAAATCATTCGCAGTCTCGGTTGGTATCTAATGTTAATGTCAGAAATACTTTAAAAATATTCAGAACCCGATATGAAAGAAATTAAGAATTGTAAATTACTAATAATACAAGTTCAAACAACTATATATTTTTTTTTAAATATGATTATTAATTAAAATAAGATGTATATCGTCGGATGAGTATTATAGTGTTCTATATCAATTTTTTTTTAAATTGTTCAGGAGAGAATTTTATTTAAAAAAATACGTTTGCACATCATATTCCTGGCTTATTATATTCAATGAATTAATGTATAATACATTAAATTGCTCTAAAATAAAATTAGTAATGCTTTGAGCATACATTGTAATTAATGATTCCTATTAAACTTTTTTGGATTTCTCCACAAAAAATATAACGAATAATTATGCTCAGGTTTTCACAACTAAATAAAAAAAAATTTAAATATGGGGGGGGGGGGGTTAAATTTTTTTTCAAGGGACCAAGTTATGGGGGTGAAATTTTTTTGGGAGGTTTGCCTTTCCGCCGCTACGGTCTTGTAGAACAGTATAATACTCATCCGACGATAAATGAAATCATTCTAAATACCAATATTCCTTGCACATTCGGAGCGCTAGGTAATAATTCGTTATGTTCCGGGATTCTTTCCTTCGAGCTATTAGTAAATTCGTCTGCTATCTAGACAAACAAACAAAAATATTTATAATTTTTATTACAGTTTATTATAAAAAAAATATATATCCTGGCGGAAAATTTTTTTTTGCCTTTTTTGAAGAAGGCACAACTTAATAGAATACTTTTACTTTAAAGGTATTCATAAAAATTTTGAAATATATGCATATTTTTTTTTTAAAAAAAATTTATTATGAATATTGAATTTTAAATGAAAAAACACGATTGTAATTAAATAATAGGGCCTAATTTTCCAAGCCTGGCCCCGCCGGAAATTTGATTAAATAAATTTACCCTGACAGGCCCGGCTCGATAACGAACAAAATTTTTTTATTTGTACTGAAAAGCCCGACCCGAAATTAAAATTGTTTGTCCGCTCAACCCGGAGAGAATTTATTTAAAATATAGAAATATCGAGTTTTTGATCATTTCTACAAAACAAAAATAAATATTGTCTCCATGTTTCTTGTAAAAAATTTTAAAATCAGCCTGAACCAAATTTTTTTTTTAAATGTGAGGGCCGGGGTTGGTTTGGGCCTACTCCCGCAGATCCCGAGTTAATATAGCATAAAATATATATTAAATTTTTGAATAGGTTCATATTTGGATTTAAATTCAAATCATAACACAATCGTGAAATATGTAAAAAGTGCGTGAATCACAAAATAAATCGAACATCCACATCCGTTCAGATATTTAAAATCATATTTTCGTGCCCCTCCTAGCCATTTCATATATGGCAACTTCTTAACTTACCTAAAAAAGAAAGTAAACAAATATGTAGTAATGTTTTACAATTTACAAATAAAAGTTGATAATAATTATATTGTTTATTTTTATTAATTATACGATTGATTTTTATGATGTTTAATTTTATTTATATAAAAGTTACTTTAACAAGAAAACAGATTTAATATTTATATATCGCTAATTGAAAAATCTTTTCTTATATAAAGATAAATATTTGCAGAACAAAAAAGGAAAGAATTTTTGTTTTACCTTTAAAATTGAAATTTTGACAGTTATTTAAATTTAATAAAAAATACTTCTGATTCGGAGACAAATTAATTATTTTATTATCGCCATGTCTTAATCACTATACCAGTTAAAAATCCCCTACAAAATAAAATTTCAATATTCCTAATTTTTAAACAAAAAATTAAATTTGACAAAAAAAATAAATAAATGTATGATTTATTACTTGGGAATACGGAAACTTTTCAATGGGTATGCCCCTAACTTTTTTATAAATATTTAGTTCCAACTTGTGATAATCCAAGATTTCTTGAGCCATGTGCCATTGGCAAACACAGACCCTCGCAATTTGTTTACCTGTTGTGTTTAACATTGATAAGATTGGATTTATTTAAGAAAATCACAGTTTAAAAAAAAATCTGGTTTTGGAGAACACAGATTTTTTTGATCAAATTTTAACTAAAATTCCCCCCAAAATATTAAATTTTTTTTAATTTGAACCAAAATATAAGATTTAAATTTGTGTTTTCATCATTAAAGATTATTTCATAAAAATCATAGAAGTTTATACTTATAAATTAAGATATTTTAAATAAAATATGATCAAAAATACATACTTGAATCATTCTCAAAAAAAAATCTTCAGATAAAAAATTTTTATTTTGAAGATCATTTCAAACTCTAATGTATAAAAAAAAAGAGAGAAAGTATATATATAAAACAATTGAGCCTTTTTTCCATCTTTCTTTACATAATTCTTTTCAACAAGTTTCAAAACGATTTCTTAAAAAAATATTTCAAATTTGTTTAAATTTTTGACTTAAAGATTCTTTTTATACCTGAAAATCACTAAAAAATTTTTACTTTGTATAAAATTATTTTAAAAAATGATTTTGGTATTTATTTTCTATTCAAACTCTGATTAACCCGGCGAGATTATGAGGCGTAGTCTAACGTGGTAAATAAATGAATGAAATATTGGTTAATGGTTCATTTTAAAATTTTAATTAAACTTTTCAATGATAAATTATTTGAAGATAAATAGAAATCAAATCGGAACTAAAAGAACCATATGTCAATTATAAATTATAGCGACCAAGAAGGGCTAAAAAGAATCAATTTTATAAAATAAAATTTAAAAAATGATCAAATTTAAGGGTATTTTTGCTCAATTTTTTAAAAAATAAATGGCAAGAGTTTGAAAAAAAAATTCCAAAATCTTTTTTAATACATTAAATATTTTGTAATTTTCATAGATGTGTCCTGCCTGAGGAGTGGCAACGTCTTTTGGCGGCTAATGGAGGTCTAAAAGGTTCCCTGTGATCTGAGTCTAAAATAGGATCACCGTCTCCTCGACGGGGTGTAAAAACCTTCTAAAGGGGGGTTGATGTCAGGAAGGGTATCCGATTGTAAAAAATCTTGCTAGATTTAAATCAGAAGGAAAACTGGCCAACCTGGAAATCGCCATTAAACGGAGAAGAAGAAGTGTGTCCATATTAGTGTTGCTGAATGGACCGATTTGGTTTCGATTTTTAAAAAGGCCCAAATTAAGAAGCCTATAGATTTTGCTCATAGGTGAGAGAGAAAGGTTTGGACAACTATTCCAAATCTCGAGACATATACACAATATTATTTTGGCTAAAATCTTCATGGGGTCATTTAAAAATAGAACCCAAATCGGGTAGTTTAACAACACTAGCCCTGATTCTAATTATTTTTGATACTTATTTGTTTAGCCTAGTCTAGACAGCATCAGCTTTTGAACTAGGATACTCTTATTTTGGTTTGTTTTAAGTGTTTGATGGCATTACTATTTTTTTTAGAGATGTACCGATATATTTTATCGGATAGGATCGGGTCGATATTTCATCTATTTGCAAATATCGGTTATCGGCCAATATTATAAAATTTTCCGATCCGACATAAAATGGCGTCTTTAACAAAAAATAAAATATTATAAAATTTTTAAAAAAGGTTATATTTAAAATCATTTATTTTTATAAAATAAAATCGAAATTCATTTTTATGTATATTTTTTAATAATAATAATTAATTAATAAACATTCTACCATATTGTTATTTTTTGTGCTCATTCTGTTTATAAAAGTGCGCGATAATCTCTTCAGAATCTGTTTTTAGTGAAGCTGGTGATATACTTACCATCGCCAAAGGCTGATCTCTGATTAATTGGAAATTTTGGTATTTCTAAAAAGAAATCTCCGATATGTTAATGGTAAATATTTATTTCAAATTAATATATTTGTTTATTACTTATTATGTATATAGATTAATGTTATTACTTATTATATAAAAGTGATTTAAAAATAAAAATATTTTAGATACTTTTAGAATTGCAATTTAATTGAAAACTATAACTGATCATTATAATATTTAAATGACATAAGTTATGGTATAGTTAAATTATATATATTATACCAATAAAAAATATATTAAAAATTAAAACCATTGGTATCTTAAAATTAGATATGATATCGGATCGGTAATCGGCCGATATCAATTTAATATCGGATCGGATAGGCCTCCAAAAAGTGGTAACGGTATACCCCTAATTTTACATCTCTTTTTCAGGCTGTTTAGTCGAAGCTATATAGCTGACTAAACAGCTGGTTTAGTGATAAGTTGAACCAGGGAACACCCTCAAAGATTTTTGATCATAAGATATTTTTTCAAACTCCGATTAATATATTGATTTAATTTAAATTCGAAAACAAAAATTTTATAAATTACTTACTAGATTTTGTGGTACAACGTTTGGGCAAATTTTCAAGTTCAACCAAAAAATGAAAGAAAGGATCTTGTCGCCAGCTATGAATTCTACATATTTATAAGTAAAATAAATTATTAATTTTATATATATATATATATATTTTTTTAAAAAACAAAAATTTCTTTTTAGCTTTCACTTTTTCTGGTGAAAATATGGATTAATAATCTCAAGGAACCTGATAGATGGGCATTTTTTAGCCTTTCCTGTTCCTACCAAGGAAAGAAAAAAAATGGCTTACCAATTTTTAGAACATTTTTCAGAAAAAATATGACTCTACTTAGACCAACACATTTTTCATATCAATAAATCCAGATTTAAGACTGGTAACTAAGGGCTGAATTCAAAAGTTTACAACCAGCTGATTTACTTTTTGTGAGCAGTGTATTAAGATGTAAATGACCCAAGTTTATTTTGTAAATATTCAGTTTGTGATTCAAATGTGATTTAAATTTTTATATCAACAACCTGAAAATAACCAATATAATTAAAAATTAATGTAAATAATTTTGAGTGATAGATTTTTAAGGGCTATAAGGACTGAAAATGACTAGGATAAAAAGATGATTATGGGACTTTAAATTCAATGTTACTGGGTAAAATACTAGTGATGTTAAAAGTTACTTTTGAAACATAACTAGTTACAGTTACTAGTTACATTGGCAAAAACATAACTAGTTACAGTTACTAGTTACATTTTTACAAAAGTAACTAGTTATTAGTTACAGTTATTTTCAAAAGTAACTAGTTACTTACTTTATACATCATTCATATACGCATTATTTATTTATTAAATGCATTTATTTAATATAAAAAAAATTAGGATAAACAAAGTATAATCAGTTATTTAAAATAATATACAATTTATTTATATAAAAAAATATCGCAAAATTGAATATTTACATCGAATATAAAAATATATATTTGCATTGAAAAAAAAATTTATTTTTCATAAAAATTAGAATCTAATAAATGTTTATTTGCTTTTAACAACAAATTAATTTCAAAGTTATTATCTAGGAGACGTGCTCGTTTATCTCCAAAAATGAGCTTACCTAGACTGAACAAGGGCTCTAAGGGAGCACTTGATGTTAGAACAACATTATATTTAATAAAGAGTAATTTTAATTTGGAAAATCGTTATATAAAGAAAAAGTGTTATTAGATTTGATAAAGTTTTCTATAAGTTCATTATCCAGAATATTTTGGCGCTTTAGGTCAAAAAATCCAACTACATCAAGTGATGTTGGTTTTGAGCATGATTTATTCGTCTGGGATTCACTTTGAGGTATTTATTAAATTTAAAATTTACTCCTTTTTGGCTTTATTCCTTTCTTGCCTAATCCAAGGCCAGTCAGTTTTAAATAAATGGTGAAGAATTGCAGCACTGATGTTGTCATTATCATAAAGATTATTAAACCTATAACATATTTTTGTTAGACTTGGTTCTTCTAAGTAATGATTAATAATTTAATATTAAATTCTAAAATAATCTGTCTTTGTTTTCCCTTATACTATATTTAATTTTATTACGTATGATATGAAGTTCCAATGCTTGTTACTTGACGGAAAAAAATATATTGTGCTACATTTGTAAATAAATATAATATTAAAATTTATTAAATACTTGAATTTGCTTACAAAATTATGAAGCCCAGCAGCAATGTAACAATTTAAGAAAAGAAAATCAATTTGAATGGGAAATTATAACAATCAGACATTTTCACAAAATTTTAATTTAATAAATTTAATTTAATAAATAAATTTGATTTAAAATTAATTTATCACAACATATTAAAAATAAAATTAATTATTTGAATATATCTTTAAAAGTAACTAGTTACTTTTGGCAATTACATTTCAAAAATTATAACTAGTTACAGTTACTAGTTACAATTTTAAAAATATAACTAGTTACAGTTATTTTTTAGCCAAAATCTAGTTACCAACTAGTTACTTGTATCTAGTTACCAACTAGTTACTTGTAACTAGTTACCTTAACATCACTATAAAATAAAATGGGAAATATTGGGAAGAGATTCAAGTTTAGGTTAAAAAGTCCAATTTAAAAATAACCAGATTAAGATTTTAGCCATATGTTGGCAAATAGATGTCCAACCTTTTCTGCCTTCTATGAACAAAATCTTCAGACTTGGATATTATTTTGGCTATAATCTGAATCAGGTTTTTTTTAAACAAATCAACCTGAATCTAGATTTTTAATAGGGATGTACCGATATTTTATATCGGATCGGGCCGATATTTCGCCCATTTTAAAATATCGGTTATTGGCAAATATTATAAAATTTTCCGATCCGATATAAAATGGCGCTTTTAACAAAATTTAAAAAAAGTTATATCTAAAAATCCATTTATTTTTATAAATAAAATCAGAATATATTTTTATGCTTAATTATTTTAATAGTAATAATTAGTTAATAAACATTCTGCAATATAGTTATTTTTTTTCGCATTCTGTTTAAAAAAGTGTTCATTAATCTCTTCAGAATCTGTTTTTAGTGATACTAGTGATATTAACAGTCCCCCTCACCACAGACCGATCTCTGATAAATTGGAAATTTTGGTATTTCTAAAAAGAAATCTTCGATAAATTAATTTTATATATTAATTTCAAATTTCAATATATTTGTTTATTACTAATTATGTAAATAGATTAATGTTATTACTTATTATATAAATAATTGCAATTGAATTGAATATAAACTATAACTGATCATTATAATATATTTAAATGACATATGTTATGGTATAGTAAAATTATAGATGTTGTACTAATAAAAAGAATATTAAAAATTAAAACCGGTATCTTTACAGAATACAAAATTAGTTATGATATCGGATTGGTTATCGGCCAATATCAATTAAATATCTGGAATATCGGATCGGATCGGCCTCCAAAAAGTGGTATCGGTACACCTCTAATTTTTAACAACCATAATCAAGTCATTTTGGTAAGTTTGAGTAGGTCTAAGATTCAGCACCATTAATCTCACATAGATCCAAAGATCAACCCAAATTGGGCCATTTAACAACATTACTATGCAGTGTATAGGTTTAAAAATCAAGTTATAACAAAAAAATTCAAAGAAAACCTCCCAAAATTGTTTTATTTCTAAAGAGAGTAGATTGTGCTATATTTATTTCAAACTATCCTCTAAAATCTTAAGGGTTTGGAACATAACCATTCTGTTTTAATCTCTGTCTAAATAAGATAATAAAAAACATACTTTACAATTTATAAGGCATAATTTTTACCGTGTCATAAGATTTTGATTTTCTTCACCTTCTTTTTGTATATGAGATATAATTTTGAGAACTTGTTCTTTTCCCACACCATTAACTCCCCCTTGTAAATAATCACAGCCCAAAAGAACAGAGGCACCAATTAAATCAGGAAGAGTTAAATTTAATTCTTTTAAGGTTTTTTGACAGTCAAAACTTTTTATAAAGTTTTTCTTCATTTAAATTTTTTTTAAAATAAATAATAAAAATAGATACCTTTTTGTTAGCTAGATTTATGTCAAAATTCTTGTAAACAATATTAGCTCCATATAAAATTATATCACTATCATTTGAAATACATCCATCCACTTTCTAAATAAATAAATATAGCTAATTAGAAATAAGTTTACATTGTGGGAGTTCAAAAGTGCACAAAGCTTTTCTGCTTCACTTTGACTTTGTAAACATGGAATACCCATAAGAGCTATTAATTGTCTACACTTTTAAATATAGATTTAAAAAACTTGCAATACAAAATTACTTTGTCTGAAAGTTTTTTAAAATGTGGTCTTGAACATTTGTTACCACTATTGAAATTAATTTTAGATTTTAATGTGTTTTTTGAATTCCTCTGGTTTATAGTTGCATATTTCAATTCAGGGGGAATACCATCCATTATAAATATTAAATTTATTTCATGTTCATAAAAAGCAAGGATACGAAAAAATAAATTTCTAGATCGTGCAAAAAATGAATAAATATTGTATTATCATGGAATATATATAGGTCACCTTAAGTAAAGAGTATTATTTATTGGACCTTGCAAAAAGTGACCCATGGCTAAGTTTTCACAAATCCATATACTTAAATCAACGCCTAAAGTCTTGCCTCTTAGTGATTCTATATCACAAGTTGTATTAAATTGAGCAAATATATTCCATATTTCTTTCACACCCATGTGGTAAAATTTGAATTTACTGGATATTTAGCAGACCACCAATTCAAGGAATGTTCATTTGAAGGAACTATTTTAATTGGTTGAAATAAATATAAATTTAGGTAACAAATGGAACAATCTATATAATTATCAGAATAGAAGTTTATTTTATTAGTTTCATTATTATAATGATAGAACAAAGAACTTATTAATATTTATAAAATTATATCTTAATTTTATAGGATTTAAAAATCTGGAGTCTATTTTAAAAAATTTAATAATTCAAAGATGATTCTTAGAACAGCCCATATTATCTAATAAAATGGGAAACTTTTGTTTATAAGATGAAATAGGCAACTATTTATCATTTATTATTTAGACTATAAATAAGTCCTTCAATAAAAAGTTAACATATGCTTTTACTTCAAACTTACAAGCAAGGATATTTAAATTAAATATTTATAAAATTTGATATCTGGAATCCAGCTAACTGTATTCGCTAGGAGGAAAATAAAACATAGAAGATACAACTATATTCGTTAATTTTCTTCAATTTTTTTTTTATTTAACTCATTTTTTTTGAAAAATGTATTACCTCTAATTTTTTAGTTTTTATCAATATTTTATTAACAACTTTATTTAAAATAATAAAAACACAAATATTGTTAGGGGAACCAATTTGATGAGCTTATAAGCTAGGATGTCATCTTAAAAAATTATTGGCTACATAATAATAAATAAAGGTAATATTAAATTTTTTAGGTCATAAATTGGAAATATATGAATATTAAATTTAAATCATTCTTTATTGTGGATGTAAAAACATTTTTTGAGATTTTATGAAATTGATAATAACATAAAATTAGTATATTGCAAATATGTTCCAAATATATGTTGATATTGAAAATACTAAATATATACTTTTACTTAAATAACATATTTTATAAAAATAATTAAAATTTTGGAATCAACATTCATCAAATAAAAAGTAAATTTTGATTCATCTATTACCGAAATGAGAAATTCTTGAGGGGCAAAATAATTGAAATAAAAGATAAAATAACCGAGTTCTATATAATCACGCGAGTTTTCTGATTTATATATAGAATATATGTAATCATTGTTGGTTGAAGAGAAAATGAGGCATACCAAATTAAGGCTGCATTGAGAAATATATGTTTCCAGATAGGTCTAATTTGATTTTAGTTGCATTTTGACCTATTTATAGGGATTGCATATAACATTTACATTCAGCCCTTTGATTATATCTTGGTCAGCCAATCTTCAATAGCATTTTTTATTTTTCGTAAATAATAAATGGTGGCAAACCATAAACCACAAAGTTGAAAGAAAAAGGAGAAGGAAAAGAAAAAGGGAAACATAAAGGAAGGTAAAAAGCTAAATTAAAATACTACACTAATTTGTAAAGGAGTCAATATCAAGTGCTTTTCTAGAGGTTCGAGCATTAACATCATTAAAGGGCATATCCACTGTTTGGAAATATAAGCCTACTGTCAGGTATCGCTATCGGGTGAGGTCGAGAACTAAAATAAAGATATAATATTTAAGAATCATGGGAAAAAACCCCCGGAAAAGAAACCCCGAAAAAATAACCCCCGAAAAAAAACCCCTAAATTTTTTTTCGAATTTACTTAAGATCTAATAATATCGGTAGATTTTTATTTGGATTTATATAAGATATAGAAAAATTAGTTTCAAAGTTTCTCTGCACAGAAACGTTTAACTTAGCAGTTTATTTTTTTTTAACCTTTTTTTTTTATTAATTTCACAACAAGGAATAATATCTTCTTTTTTTTTAATTTCACAACAAGTAATAATATCTCGTCTTTATTTTTCTTTTAAAAGAAAGAAGGATTTTTAAAAAAAAACAATATATAAAAAAAATATAATTATAATAATTAATTTCCACTTTTTTTTTAGTTTATATATGATTATTTTTTTATAAATATTAAATTATTTTTTACATAATAAATATTAAAAATATTTATATAATAATGTTCATGATGACTGCGCGAAACTAAAAAAAAATATTAAAAATAAAATTCCAAACAAAAAAAAAATATTTCATGACTCATACAAAAAAAATAAAACTATTTATAACACGCCCCCATTAAATGAAAACCCTTGAACATACAAAAAAAAATTAAAATTGTTGTTTAACAAAGACAAACAGGGGGGTTTTGTACATAAAATCAAAATGTAATTACTTATTATTCTCTACATGTGTTAACATAAATAAAAAAAAATATATGATGTAAAATATTTTAAAAGTTTTACTACATATATTAATATCGTATTTTAATTATTCCCGAAAATCTATTAAGGAAAATGATATTTAAAAAAAAATTGTTTCATTATTACAAAATTTGTAAAATTTATTCTGGTCCCATTACATCCTCCAACAATTCCTGAATCTCAGAGGCCGACAAATCAACCATCGGCCACTCCTTAGCGTAATAGGCCCTGGGACTCATCTCCTGCGTTTCTTCTCGAAACGGCTCAATAATCACCACCGGTCGCCCCATCGCAGTTATGGATTGATATTGTTGCGGCATTGCCCCTATCGTCAAAGGCGGCAAAATGGTCCTAACTGGGCGTGCGTCGCTCCTTCCCGGGCTTCGGCTTCTGTGGCTCGTCGTTTCCCTATTATCATTTAAGTCTTGCCTACGATTTGGCCCACGGGGGCACCGCATTCGCAAATGACTAGGCGAACCACACAAGTAACAAGAACGTCTCCTCCTCGAGCGCATGCTGAGGTGCCGGGGCTCCGGTAATTCGGAGTGATCTAAATTATTCGTCATTATCCCGGACACTCCCCTTTGGACCTGGGGCGATCTACTGCTCCGGCGTATTGGAGGCGATTGGTCTATTATGTTTCGGTAAATCGAAGGCGAGATTGGTCGCCTATCCTCATTAACATATCCTCGGTAAATACTTATTCTAATGGTAAAATTCTCCCAATATATACACCTATGCCTCCCCGACATTCATTTTTAAGAAAAAGGTATAATATAAAAAAAATTAATAACAGTTTTCACTCACTTTTCTTTTGGGTCAAAATGAATAAATACAGGAAAATTTTCTTTAACAAAATTAACAATTATACAAAAAAAAAAATTAATATTTTGCATTTATAAAATTCCCCTTTTAAAACCCAATTATTGGAACCTTCCTTGTTTTGTGTCTCGCTTCCAACTGTCATTGCCGAAATCTTCCGTGTTTCAGTCCAACTTGGAACCATTTTTTATTTGTTTCCTAGTCCAATTGTCACTCCTTTTTATTCTATTCTTCAACTATATACAAGTTCTATTTCCAACTTTTGATTTACGATCCCGACATCTCCCAAAATTATCCCTTACTTTAATTTATTACTTTGGTTAACATACCCAACATTTTTAACTTTTTGTGCATTATTTATTGGCACTCTAACTAAGTTCCCCCTTTTTTTTAGAAAAAAAATACTCGCTTTATTCCCCGAATCACGAAATCATTGACTAACTGATATCATTGATATTTATTTTATTTTTTATTAAATGTGATGTAATCCCGTAATTGCGGAGGTATTAATATCTTGGGTTAATTATCATTATCGATTTTTTTTTTAAAATTAAATTTGATTTAATCTCGAAACTGCGGAGGTATTACCATCTTGGGTTAATTATCATTATTAGTATTATTATTTTCTATGTGCTTTAACTCGAGAATCACGAAAGTTTATATATATATATATATATATATATATATATATATATGCCCCTTAACCTCCAACATTATTAGCACCGGTTACCATTATTATTATTGATCCCCTTTTTTTTTATTAAATGTGATTTAATCCCGTAATTGCGGAGGTATTACTATCTCGGGTTAATTAATATTTATTTTGTTTTTTTATTAATGTGATGTAATTCCAGAATTGCGGAGGTATTACTAACTTGGGTTAATTATCATTATCGATTTTTTTTTAAAATTTGATTTAATCTCGGAATTGCGGAGGTATTAATATCTTGGGTTAATTATCATTATCGATTTTTTTTTTTAAATTAAATTTGATTTAATCTCGGAACTGCGGAGGTATTACCATCTTGGGTTAATTATCATTATTAGTATTATTATTTTCTATGTGCTTTAACTCGAGAATTGCTAAGATATCTATCCCTCTCTCCTCGCCGCATGATGGCTGGATCTCAATCTTTCAGACTCTACTCTCTTCCGTATCTGTTCTACGTGTCTAACTCCTTCCTTTCCGTCAACGAATTTTACTCTCACCATTTTATGCCCCATGTTCTGTATAATTATTCCTGACTCCCATTTTCGGGTACCTCCAAAAATTCTCGCCCATATGGTCTGACCATTCACAAATTCACACTGATTATCCATTGAATTTTCCTCCTGCGCCGGTTTGGGTCTTAAGAAATCCAACTGAATACGAGTTCTACAGCCCAAAAACTTTTCTGCTGGGGACAATTCCTCTCCCTTTCGACTATTGTTTAAATATGCAATCGCTATCCAAATCTCTCCACCCCCATATTTCGACTTCCTCAACCAACTTTTCACCACCGCCACCATCCTTTCAGCCTGCCCATTTGAGCTTGGGTGGTAAGGAGGCGCCAAAATGTGTCTCGCCCCAGTTTCAGTTCAAAACACTTTAAATTGTTTACTTATGAAAGCGGGTCCTCCATCCGACACGACTATTTCCGCTACCCCAAATTTTGCCCAAAGATCTTTTAACGTCTTAATTACTACTTGCGTTGTTAACCCCTTTACTTCTTGATACTCTACCCATTTTGAGTAAGCGTCCACCACGAGGAGATATATTTTATTTTCGAAGTCGAAAAAGTTTAAGTGCACTCTTTCCCATGGTCGAGTATCCCTAGGCCAAATACTTTTCTTGTCCTTTCGAGGCATACTTGCCCATGAATTACACATTTCACAACTTCTCACCATATTCTCGATTTCTTTATTCATGCCAGGCCACCATACGTATTCCCGCCCCCATTGTT